GACCGTGGCATTCACGTATGTGAAGGGGCATGAGGAGAGGGATACTCAAGACACGCTTCAAATTCTTGAGGAGTGTCGGGTGGCAGACGCCAAGCCGCCGATTGCGGTGGCCGCCGACTTGGGGTTTGATGAGGATTGCAAGAGGGTGGTGGAGGAGGTGGTGGCAGCTTTCGGCCGAATCGATATATTGGTCAACGGTGCTGCCGAACAACACAAGGCGAAATCCGTAGAGGAGATTGATGAGAAGAGGCTTGAGAGAGTGTTCAGAACTAACATATTCTCTCAGTTCTTCATGGTTAGGTAAGTTACAAAAAGTAATCAATCAAATACTCGAAACTATTGGCCTTTAAATATTTAGGGTTTAATTATGAACTTGACTTCATTTCAATTTGATTTTTATTATTTTAAAGTTAGTTTTAATTTAATTCTTAATGAAAATTTAGTAGTTTTAATGTGATCCTTATTGTTTTAAAAGTGTTCAATGATTTGGTTAAACTTTGTAATGATGTTTAAACCGTCTTCTATATATTCAACTAAAAATCCATCTATTTTCTCTATTGTTTAGTCGGCTCCAAATTGTTAACGATACCACTTTGAAAAGATAAAACCTAACAAGGATCTATAATAGATATGGACTACTCTTCTGATTGTCAATTGATTTTGAGATAGAACTCATGAATAATATGATATCAGAGTCCAACAAACTCAAACGGGATCCAGCCATCATGTGGAGATGTTAAGGATCCACATTTTGTGTCAACTATATATTATTGATCCTTATTTTATCCCTTGACCTACATTTTATGCATGTCAAATCATCTCTTACAATCAAAAGTAAAAGAACTAATTCAAGACTAAATATGTAAGTAATTTAACCAAAATCCATGGCTTAAGTGATGAACTTGTTTCTATTTTTTTTTTCAGGCATGCGTTGAAGCACATGAAGGAAGGCAGCACTATCATCAACACAGCGTCGGTGGTGGCGTACAAGGGCTACCCTCAGCTGGTGGACTACTCGGCTACCAAAGGTGCCATTGTCTCTTTCACTAGAGCTCTGGCTCTTCAGCTGGCAAGTCGAGGGATACGAGTCAACGGCGTCGCTCCGGGACTGATATGGACGCCATTGATTCCGTCATCAATGGATAATGAAGACATTGAAAGTTTTGCGAGTAGTGCTTCGATGAAACGAATCGGTCAACCGATCGAGGTTGCTCCTTCATATGTGTTCCTTGCTTGCAACTACTGTTCTTCCTACTTCTCTGGCCAAATCCTCCATCCCAATGGTAAGTTTTTGTACAAATAACAAAAGCAAAAGCTTTAAAATAAGTATGTATATTTAAGTATAATAAAAAAAATTTAATTTTACAAAAAAAAATACTATCCCATTCATATTCAAATTCAAATTTAATATAAAACACAATAACAAAAGTCAAACTTTAGACTATGTTCAGAAAAAAAAATGTAAATATTAATTAATTTATGTTAGGTGGTAAAATTTCCCTTTTAAAATAATTTTCTATTTACGTTTTTCAAAATCTAAATTTTATCACATGTATTTCTCCTTTCTCTAATTTTTATCTCTCTAACTTATTCTGTCCCTTTGTAACTTATTCTGCTCTCTTTAACTTATTTGTCATTCCCATAATATACTTCTCCCTGTTTAATTAACTTTATCTCTCTACATTTCTCA